ATTTGTGTCCGTTTCCAAGAAAGGTGATCCAACAGAATGCAGACATTATCAAACAATATTGTTAATATCACGCAAAGTTAAATTTTGCTGAAGATAATTCACAAACAGTTGCAGTAGTAAACGGACCGAAAGTTGTTAGAAATTCAAAATGGATTCAGAAGAGAATATGGTAGAAGGGTACTATTGCTAATGTCAGCTTGATCTTGGCTGAAAGCAGAGAATACTAGAAAGATGTTTACCAGTACTCTAAGGTATTTGACTGTGGATCACAACACATTATGGATACACATAAAGATGGGAATTCCAGAGCACTTACTTGTGCTCATGTGGAAACTGTACCTAGACCAAGAAGTAGTCATTCAAACAGAAGAAGGGGATGCTGAATGGTTTAAAATCAGTAAAGGTGTGTATCAGGGTTGTATCTTTTCACGTTTATTCAATCTGTATGCTGAACAAATAATCCAAGGACCTAGTCTCTACGAAGAACATGGCATCAGGATTTGAGGGAGACTCATTAACAACCTATATAATGCAGACACTAATTTGCTTTCTGAAAGTGAAGAGGACTTGAAATACTTAACTTATAATCAAAGACGTCACTATGGGTTTCACCTTGATGTAAAGAGAATGAAAATAGGAACAACTAGAATAGTAAACAGTATTATGATAGAGAAATAATAGCAGGAGCTCTGGTAGCGTAGGAATCAGGCTGCGAACCACAAGGTCAGCAGTTTGAAACTACCAGCTGTTCTGTGGGAGAAACATGAGGCTTTCTGCTCCCGTAAAGATTTACAGCCTCGGAAACCCTGTCCAGGGCTGCTGAGTTAGCACCGACTCCACGGCACGTAACAGCCAGCACTAAGGATTTCACTTTACTTGAATCCACAATGTCCATGGGAACTGATAGTGAAGGAGTCAAATAATGTATTGCCTTGGACAAATCTGCTGCAAACGACCTCTTTTAAAGTGTTAAAAAATCAAAAATATTACTTGGAGGATTTAAGGTACACCCGACTCAAGCCATAGTATTTTCACTTGTCTCATATGCATGTGGTAGCGTAGTACCTTCAAATCGGGCTGCTAACCTCAGGGTCGGCAGTTCTAAACTACCAGCTGTTCCGCGCAAGAGAGATGGCGTTCTGCTCCCTTAAAGATTTGCAGCCTCGGAAACCCTGTGCAGGGTCACTGAGTCAGAACTGACTCCACAGTACTTAACAACATACACACATGAAAGTTGGACAATGGATTTGTTGTTGTTAGGTGCCATCGAGTGGGTACTGACCCATAGCGACCTTATGCACAGCAGAACGAAACACTGCCCGATCCTGGGCCAACCTCACTACTGTTGCCACTTAGCTAATACATCTCATTGGGGGTCTTCCTCTTTTTCTCTGACCTCCACCTTACCAAACATGATATCCTTCTCAAACAACGGGTCCCTCCTGACAGTATGTCCGAAGTATGACACACACAGTTTGGCCATCTTGGCCTCCAAGGAGCACTCTGGCTGTACTTCTTCCAAAACGGATCTATTGGTTCTTTTGGCAACCCATGGCACTTTTAATATTCCCCTCAAAACCATAACTCAAAAGCATCAATTCTTCTACGGTCTTCCTTATTCACTGTCCAGCTTTCACATGCATATGAGGTTATTGAAAATACCATGGCTTGGGTCAGGCGCACCTTAGTCCTCAAGCTGACATCTTTGCTCTTCAACACTTTAAAGAGGTCTTGTGCCACAGATTTGCCTAATGCAATGTCAGTGGATAAGGATAAGGACAATGGATAAGGAAGGCTTGAGAAGAACTGATGTCTCCTAATTCTGGTATTGAAGAAGAATATTGAATAGGATACCATGGCCTGCCAGAAGAATGAATTAGTCATGGAAATAGGACAGAGAGAATGCTCCTTAGATGTGAGAATGACAAGACTTGGTTTCACATACTTTGTGTATGTTACCGGGAAGGACCAGTCTCTGGAGGACATCATGCTTAGTAAAAGAGATGATCATCAAAAAAGGAGCAAGACCCTCAAGGACACAGATGTCCTCTATGTCCACGTCCTCAAGGACATAGATGGACACAGTGTGGTTCCAACAGTGGGCTCAAGCAGAGCAAGAATTGTGAAGATGCTGCAGGTCTGGGCAGTGCTTCAGTCCTTTGTTCAAGGAGTTGTCATGAGTCACAACCAACTAGATGGCATCAAACATTTTATTCTTAGATACTGTTGCAATTTGAATTATTTCCCTAATTTCTCATTGCTGGTGTATAGAATCCCAATGGATTTTATTGTTTGTTGGCCTTGTACTCTGCAACTTGGCTAAATTCCTCTCTTAGGTCTAGAAGTTTTCTTGTGTACTCTAGGATTTTTGAAACATAAGGGGACTTAAAAAAAACTGTGGGGAAACAGAATTATCTTTTCATTCCATTTTACCATGAACCTTTTGAAGCCCCTCATATAGGATCATATCATCTCTGTGAATACGGTAATTTCTTATCTTTTCAGTCTGGATTCCTTTTATTCCTTTTTGTCATATTGATTTGGCTAGCACCTCTGATGAATATTTGAATAGAAATGGTTGAGAATGATCACTCTTGTCTTGTTCCCAATTTCAAGAGAACACTCTCAACCTTTCTTAAGTATAATGTTGGTGGTTGGCTTTTCATGCATGCCCTAAATTATAGTGAGGGATTTTCCTTCTGTTCAAATCTTCAGGTTTTTCATCAAGACAAATTGTTGACTTTTATTAAATGCTTTTTTCTGTAATTCAGAGATTTGCTTCTTTTCTTTTGTTCTATTGCTGTACTATGTTGATGTTTTATAATGTTGAATCACCCCTGCATTCGTGGAATAAATCCCATTTGGAAAAGATGTAGTTTGGGTGGCACAGGGTTAAGAATTGGATTAACCACCACCCGCTCTGCAGGAAAACAGACAAGGCTCTCCCCTCCCACAAAGCTTCAGCCTTGGGAAGCTAATGGAGGTCTCCTGTGATTTAGGGGTGCTGTGAGTGGAACCGACACAGCAGCAGTGGCTTTGCTCATGGTGTGTCTCTTTCAGTATGTTGCTGGATTCTGTTTGCTAGTATTTTGGTTTTTTAATTTTTTTGTGAATTGAATAAAGGTTTATAGAGCAGATCCTGTTTTATTCAATGAATCACACACTTCCGTTCTTCTAGATTGCTGCTGTCCCTGCAATGGAGCATCACTCCTCCTTCCCCATGTATGTTTCCATTTCTCCTTTCCCCACCCTTCTGTCCTTACGAAAATGCTGCCCTTCTAACCTTGGATGGTTGACCATTCTATGGCGCACATACCTCTTCTGTGTTGTTGTGCCCCCTATGTTCCTACCAACTCCCTGGCTGAAAATCGAGCCACCAGGTGAGTTCAGTTCCAAACCTGAAGGGCCATACTCAGTCTGACTAGTAAACCTGGTCTTGTGGAGGTTTTTTGTTACCTACATTCTTCTGACATAATGGCCTGTAATTTTCTTTTTAGTGACTTCATCTGGCTTAGGCTCTCAGGGCTGTCTGCTGCATAAATGACTTCAGGAATTATTCATTTCTTCTCTAATGTTTCAGTGTTTAAACAGGACGGATGTCAATGCTTCTATGTTATCAAGTTCCCCAGTGAAACCATTTGGTCCAAGGCTGGTTTTCAAGTTTGTAAAGGTTGTTGATCTCTGATTGTCTCATCATTTGTTGTGTCAGATCACTTTCTATTTTCTCTTGAGTCCCTTTGGGGACAGGTTTTGTCCTTCCAAGCATTTGTCCATTTCATCCAGCTTCTCCAGTCTGTAGCTATGCAGCTGTTCACACTAGTCAGTCATAGTTCTTGATTTCTATCGAGTCAGTTGTAATTCCTGTTTATTTTGGTTACATGCGTGTTCTGCATAAGGGAAGCGAAAGCACCCAACTCTATGTATTCCTTTTAGTAGTTGTGACTTTTGAAATTCAGTTTTCATATTTTAAAACAGTAAAATTAGACCAGTAGGATGGGGCAAATTAAAAAACTGAACATAAACCAAAATAAATGATTTACCTTTGTAGAAGCAGTACTACCACATAGAATCAAAAAAAACTTTTAAATCTGAGCAACTTTAGAAGCTAGCACTTTAGGTCTAACGAACTGTGAAGAAATTATACACTCAATAGATGTGTTTGGTAGCAATATTGATACAGTACGGCTGAAACTATTTCAAGTGAATTTAGATCGAGCAAGAGTTAATACACTGTTGGAACCAATCTCGTACTGAGGAAGAAACAGGGGAGGCAAGAAAGTTTCTGGGTGGTGGTTTAGAACCAGAGTCATCAGCATGTATTAATTTCCACAAACATAATGGCTTAAAAACAACATATACTGATGGCCTTCGAGTTTTGAAGCTCAGGAGTCTCGAATGAGTCTTGGGACTAGCGTCAGGTACCTGTTATTAGAAGCGCACTCTCTCTAGAACCTCTCGGGGAGAACCTGTCTGATCTCCTCCTGAATCAACAGGCTGCTGGTGTGCCCTGACTCCTGGTTGCCTCCCAGACCCTGGCTGTATCTCTTCCACTGACCCTGTAGCACCTGGTTTGATTTTTTTGGTTTATTCTATTTCTGGCAAAGAGATACATCTAAATGCTCAATCCATAGCTATATACCTTAAATGTCAGTCTTCAAATTACTTAAAAAGCAAAAACCTTAGCCTATTTAATAAAAACACACAAAAGCTTGCATCCACATTTATTACAAAAAACAGTATCATTTAGGAACTTCCTCTTTAAAGGTAGAGGAGCTATTTCAGGACACTGTTCTGTTTCTATCAAATTCCACTCGGCTCTTTGGATGCTCACAGGCCGGGGTAGCCCAGTCCTCCAGTAAACCCTGCCAGCCCTGGCAAAGTACAAAGCAGCACCCTGGGCCTACTGTTCCCATCCCGGGGGCTCAGGTGAGACAGCGGGAAAACGAGAGAGCAGAGCTCTGCAGCAGCAGCAATCCAGTGTGCTTGTGAGAGCTTCCGCCTCACCTTTTCTTCACAAACTTCTTTCTGGAGGCATTGGGATTCAACCGTCTCCTCCCAGCCCCCATGGAGCCATCTCGAATCTGCAAAGTAGCTGACCGGCTAGAGATGTCGTTCTCGGCAAAGGGAGACACCCCAGCTGTGTAGTCCGGGGCAAACACGTTGGTCTTCTGCCTGGCCTTGTGGGAGAGCCGCAGCTGAGGGAAGCGCTGGTCCTCAGTCAGGTGGGGGTTGACAGCGTATTTGCCCCCCTTGGGAGTGGGAAGTGAATACTGTAAAGATAAGGAAAGGCCGTGAGGAGAACGGTGATGTGCATTCACTGATGTACGTTCACATCCTGTGAAAGCACAGCTCACCTTACAGATCAGGCTGCAGCCACACAACGGACAACGGTGCTCCGCCTGCTGGGCGCTAAAGCCAGGCATCCTCTGCTTGATCCTCACCTCACCCCACCCCACTCATGACTGGTAAACACACTGCTTTCCAGAGTAAAGCAGTGACTCAGGGTCAAATTCAGCAGCAGACATGGAGGGCTGATGATCCACACACTGGGCACTACCACCACCATCCAGCGGGTCTTTCAGCAGTCTTCAGTGTCTCCCTAAAGGAACTCCTGTCACCAAAACTATTCAAGCCGGCTCCACTCCTGACCCACTTACCTGAAGCAGATCATTCTCTTCCCACAAGGCACCCTTCTACCGATACCCTGCCAACTCCTTTCTCTAAGAACCCCTACACTTTCAGGCCCACCTGTCTGCATACCTTGTGTGCTAGGAAGTACTCAACAGTTCCCTTTAAAACAAGGTAGTTCTGAAAAATTAGCTTCCTCCTCAAGTAGAAACACCCACAACACTGCAAAGAGGAACCTGGGTGCAAGTCAAATTTCCTCTAATCTACCTGATAATTAATGCATGACTATGAAGAATAAAATCTCTTAAGGCCTTGCTGAACAAAAAATGAACCCAATCATGTTTCAGAGAAGTAATCACTGAAATAAGGAAAAGCTAATCAGCTTGAACATAGTATTTTGACTGTATAGTCTCAGCTCTGGTAGCGTAGTGGTTACGAATCGGGCTGCGAACCTTAGGGCCAGCAGGTCAAAACTACCAGCCGCTCTGCGGGAGAAAGATGAGGCGTTCTGCTCCCGTAAAGATTTGCAGCCTCGGAAACCCTGTACAGGGTCTCTATGGGTCTGAACCGACTCGACGGCACTTAACAACAACAACAAGTCTCAACTGAAGGCGAAAGGGATTATGCAAAGATAGAGCTTTACTATTTTCGCTAACGGTAATCTAGAGGCTCCTAAGAAGAAAGGATTGGCAATCTACTTCTGAAAAACAACAAACAACCCCAGCCACTGAAGCCCATGTAGCACAGCTCTACTCAGATGCACGGGGGAAGTGCTGTGAGTCAGAGCTGGTTCAAGGGCAACTCATGTGCTTTTGGTATGGGTTGTTGTTAAGTGCCATCAAGTTGGTTCCGCCTCATAGAGACCCCATTCAAGGTTTCTGAGGAGCATCTGGTGGATTTCAACTGTCGATCTTGTGGTTCACAATCCAGTGATGATCATACAGTGCTACCCACCCCAGGAGTCCTTCAGTATAGGTTAGCAATTCTAAAACAATTTCTATTCTAGGCTAGAACAAGTAAATTATTATGAAAAACATCTAGACAGAGATGTTACAAATAAAACCAACTCTGTGGTGTTGGACTGAAACTTAAGGTACAAACACACGATTTATTATGGAGAAAGGAGATGTTTGTGTGTGTTCTTAACACACCTGCACTTAGGCTTTGTCTACTGAGAGCCGAGGAGCAGTGACACCTAGGACTATGAGCATGCTTAGTCTTTGCTTCTAAAAAGCATCTCCCTAGAAACCAGAACCACATCCAGATCACCAGAGATGAGAAATCCCCACTTGAAGGGACAAGCTGATGAGCCTCGAACGGGGAGAAGAACAAAAGATACGTCTCGAATGGAAGACCTACAGGAAAAATACGACACAATGGAGACAGATGGACTGTTACTACGGGAACAAACGGGTCACTCCCCTAGGAGACACTGGGGCAGTCAGTCGGGTCCCACCAACGTAGCTCCCCCGACCCAAAACTGAGGCTCGGTGGAAATGCATGCTCGGATTGGTAAACACACATATCACCGTTGGGGAGAAATGGGGTAAAGACAGCAATGCAGTGGCGAGCTAAGCCTCACAATATTCAGAGGGCTTCTGTGGACCCAGTTGGGACCTGATTGGCAAGCAGTGCGAGGAGACCCGAGGACTCCTGGGCCCAGAGTCAGTGACGTGGCCACGGAGGACTCAAGTGGAGAATGGAGCTGCCTGCCAGCTGATGGGAAGAGAGGGCATGTGCACAAGAACACCCACACTTGCAGATGACACCCACGTGACCGGGACTGGATGACTGGATGATCAGAGCTCAACCAGGAGAAGAAAGAAAGGGGGGGGGGGGGGGAGGAAGAAGACTGAGCTGATCCAAGCTGATGAACTTAACCTATGCATACGAATGCAGTGACACAAAGGAGGCAACAAATCCTTACAGCAAGAAACATTCCCACCCCCTCCACACACAGAGTAGACAGAGATGGGCAACTTGGACATTGGATACCCAAATGGGGAGGGAGGGACTACAAAGGCAAGAAGTAACTGGCTTACAAGCTTTCAAGAGGGAACCTAGAGCTAGGGGTCATGGAGGAAGGCAGAATCACCCAGTGAGTACTATCCAATCTGTCTAGGTGGAGCTGATGAAATGAAATACAGATGGGTTACATGCGATACTGTAGTGAATAATGGTTATTAAGATGGATTGTGAGTGCTGGAAATGCAAGGGTAGATGTTTTGTAGCAAGGAAGAGAGCAGTTATTTCTCCAGTCTAGGAGCGGAGGTCTCTGGGACCACCAACGGATAAGAGCCGAAAACGGGACCCCACCCAGAGAACCGGGGATGCCTTAGATGGAGACAGAGATGATGACATGGAGGGATGAAGCTGCTGGGGACTTTGGATCTAGAGAGGGAGAGGGACTGTGGGCCAAAGACTGAAGGGTGAGGGGGGAGTGTAGAGCATGGGCTTCTAGGATAGGCCCTTTGGTAGGAAGACGATGCATGGAGGGGATTGGAACCATGGCAATGTAATGATACACGATGGAATGAATATGGAATTGAGGTTCTCTCATGTAAACTATCATATAATTCACAATAAAACATTAAAATAAATAAATAAAAATAAAAAGCATCTCCCTAAAAGAAAGCGCTTGGGAGAAATGACCAATTCCAATGCAGGGAACATCATCTTCCTGTGCCAGAAGAGAGACAACGATCAAAGAGAAGAGGAATGTGTCAAGAGGCAGCAGAAACAAGCAGGAAATAGGCTCCCACTGACCAATCAGGAGCAATGTGGGAATCAAAATAATGAATGATCGCTAACAGATCACAGCCAATGAACTGTAAGAATCCACACTCACAGATAAATGAATGAATAAAAGGAAGCTCCTCCTTCTAGAGTCCTGGTATGGCGCAGCAGGATAAGCACTGGACCACAAGGTTGGTTTGAACCACGAAGTCAGCGGTTCAAACCCACCAACTGCTCCTCGGAAACACTATACAGGGTCACTATGAGTCGGAACTGGCTTGACAGCACTTAACTCCTTAGGTTAAAATACCAAGTAATAAATATAGAAAAAATGATAAAATGAGAACTCTTAGCATCAGTCAAGCACCATTGTAATGGCTAATTCAGGTAACTTTAATGATGAGAATGATACATTCTCTTAAGTATTTTTCAAAATAGTAACTTGACAATGGGTAAGTCTTTAAGAAACCACTTTAACCAACGGATTCAAGTTACCACCACCAGTATAGAGGACACTGGACCTCTGTGTACCCTCTCTGAAGGGCACACTTCATGTCTGGGTGTTCCTGCCAAAAATGCACGGCCAGAGTCAAATTACAAGGAAACCTCACACAAAAATGTCTTGATCCTGAAACACAAAACACTGAGAGACTATTCTAGTTTAAGAGAGACTAGATAGAGTCCTGGTGTGGAACTGTGAGCTAATGCGCTGGATTGCAAAGTTGGTTTGAACTGTAAGGTTGGCGGTTCAAGCTCACCAGCTGCGCCTTAGAAAATGTATACAGGGTCACTATGGGCTGGAATCGACTCAACAGCCCTTAACAAAAACAAAAACAAAAACAAAGAGACATGACAAGTAATGTGTGACCCTAGACTGGATCTCATACACACATACTGGGCAAAGTTTGAACAAGGTCTACAGATGAAATTTCTTTATCTCGATAACTAGACTTTAGTTGTAAGACAAAGTCCTTCTTCTAGGAAATTCAGGGTCCTGGTGTGGCACTGCTGGATGAGCACAAGGTCATCAGTTGAAACCCATTCACCATGCCTAGAAAATCCTATACAGGGTTACTGAGATGGTACCCACTACGTAGCACTTAACAAGTATATTTTTACACATATAGCATGCGTGTTAGAGTTTTGCGAACAGCACAACTCCTCACACATTACATTCAGAAATAAGGTTGTGGCAAAGTGAATCACATGGAATTACTCACAAACAGTTTAGGAAAAAAATACATACACAGAGTGATTAACACAGGGTATCTGGGTATCAATGGGACCTTTTTGTACTAATTTTTACCACTTTTCTCTGAATCTCTGATTCAGAGCTTCTGGAAGTTCTTCCCAGCCCCAGAACCCCACACATATCCCACCCACGTCCCTCTTCTTTTCTTGAGCCCCGCACATGAGCCCTGTCATCACTGGCTGTTTCCAATTAGAGTGCAGATCTCTCGAGAAACTCACCCAGAAGCATGTTGTTCACCGCTCCCATCCCTCCCCCAGGTGCCTACTTTACAGTCTCGCTAGCTGCCCCTAGGGACCACAGGAGCTCTGGGCCTCTGTTCCCCTTGATTGTGGCATTAAAAGGTCTCACTTCCCGACCTTAGGTCCTGCTGGTGTGGGAGACAACCACTTACCCGGAGGCCTCGAGGGTTCAGCACCTTGGGGTTCCGGGAAAAGTGCATATGCAAGGTGCCATCGTCGCTGACTGTGACAGACACTTTCTTCAGGGTCTTGTTTCCACAATGGGAACAGAACACTCGGTTCATGTCCGATGTTGTCCTGGGAGACACAAAAGAAGGAGCTCTGTAGAGGAACCACAGGCAGCAAAGCCCATGGCCAGAGCACAGGCGGGTGCCGAGCCTCAGAGGAGGAAGCCACTGGGGACGAAGAAAGGCTGGCCCGCCAGGCACTGGCCTCACACTGCAGCAACAAGCAGAAGGCCGAGGTGACGGTAAAAGATACACACAGCAGATGAGGAAGTGTGAAGATGAGCTGAGGTCCCACTACTGACTGTCAGGAGCCATTCTTCAAGTTTCACAGCAAACTATCCCCTGAGGTTGGTCCTACCCTCGCTTTATAGACGGGGAGACCGAGGCAAGATAAGGCAACTTGGCCAAGCGGGAGGCACAAGCCCAGGCAGTCGGGCTCCAGAAAACAGTGCTCTTAAAACTGCTGTACTTTCTCAAAGGACAAATTTTCACAGCTCTAAGTACCTTGTCCCCCAAAGTCAGCACAGGTGGTAACCAGGAACACACTGATAAACCACGCTGTGATGGTTCAGTGTGGGTGCTGAGGGCAGACTCCAAGCAAGGTCTTGGCCCTCTCCTGTCCCCTCCAGCCCCAACGGAGGGTCCTGGACTGGACACACTGCTGCTCCCTGCCCTGAGAAGTTCTCTACATTCCCACTCAATGGTCCCAGGACCAGCTGCATCTACCTGCTGGAAAGGCCAGATCTCTTCCACATATGGCTCGGAAAAAACAGTGTTGTTGTTAAGTACCATTGACTTGGTTCCGACTCATAGTAATCTTGTTGAGAGTTTCTGAGGCTTGGAATCTTTGTGGAAGCAGAAAGCATCTTTCTCCCAGAGTGATGGGCAGGCTTGCCAAGTAGACCTGGTGGTTCTCAGCCCAGTTCTTATTGTATGGAGCCCTTATTCTGTGTAGAAACTGCCCAATCCCTGAGGCTGATCTCACAGTTCCGAAGAACATTCCCAGGGTTCCTAAGAATGACTGTTAATCTGGGGGAATTTGAGACTTTTGTAACAAAGAACAATTGGTGGTGACAGTGGTGGGGATTCTAAGAAGCAAGGAGCTGGTCACAAGCCTGGCACAGTTAAAACACCTGAAGAAAAACCGGAAACAAATTCAAATCCAGCAACTGCCAGTTCCAGAGTCCACGATTTCTTTTTAAATAAAAAATTTCATAGACTCAAGCAGACTAAAGAGCACAGCAAATCCCCATGTGACCATCCCTGCACTGACCCCTCATCACTTCACGGCCACCTCGTCTCATCTCCACCTCCACCCATGGCTGCAGACTTGTGCTATTTCAAAGCAAATCCCAGACATCATCCCATGCGTAAATACTTCAGTGTGAATCTCTCCAAGAGGCCAGCTCATTTCTTCTAGAACTCAAACCCCTAATCTAATGCCATCAGGAGGAAGGCTGAAAACGTCCCCTGGATTTGCCAGGTGGGAGGTTAGCTGAGTGAGGACAGAGCCCTGTCAACAGAAGGGTGAACCTGAGGGGTTCGTGTAACTGGCGCAGGGAGAGCGTGCATGCAGGCGGAGGGGCACTGGGCCCAACTGCCGGCGACATACCTGAAGCAGCCGTGGCAGCGCAGGACATAGGTGCGGGCCTCTCGGATCAGCATGCCGTTCACCGCCAGCACGTGCAGCCCCATTTGCAGCAGAACATTCTACAAACAACAAGGAAAAGCACGAGTGAACTCATCGCAAAATGAAGTTTCCTTTCACGTGAAATCTGCAGTCACAGGTAAGGGAACCTGATAAATCCTGGTTCAGCTCATAAAGGTTCAGGAGAAGTAAATTTTAGGAAGCCTCTCAAGATGCCAGAACTGGGACAAGGACCCAGGTCTCTCCCTATCTCAAGTACCATGGTCTGTGCTCATCATTTCACCAAGGCCTCTCATTAGCTACGGAAACATTGTGTCAAGACAAACACACTCCTCTCGGGGCTGGAAACGTTCTCTATTTTCTCCAAACACCTAACTGAGCACAGAACACCATACATACGGGAAAGAATCAACAGGTCATAAATATTAAACCTTAAAAATACATTCTCTAGCCTCCAACCCAAACTGAAAACAGTCAAGACAACACAGGCAGTGTCTAGGACAGGAGGTCTACACATTCCCCACCTCCAAGTGGCCGCTGCTGATGGCAGGTAGGAGCCCAGGGTTGGCCCCTGCCCATGCCAACCTTACCTGCATGGCAAAGTCTGTGGTCACGCAGCCAACCCGCACGTCACTGGGGACATGGCACTGCTCCAATTGCTGCTGGATCTGCTTAATGTTGCTGGGGGTTATCCACCCCCCCTCGTCATTGTCACTGTCTTCACCCTTCCTTTCTTCCAATGTATCCTCTTCCTCCTCTGAAACACTCTCCTCTCTGTCAAGCTGAAACATGCAGAATTCTTAAACTCCCAGCTCACAGGAGAGAGAAGCTGGGAGAAGCTATGGGGCAGGTCAGCAGCTCTGGAATCAGGGCTTACCAGCAGCTCCTGGAGTTCACGATCAATGTCAGGCAAAGGGTTTCTCCAGAACATGAAGGAACTGAATTCTACACTCTCAGGCTCACTGGTTGGGTGTCCATGATCTACTGTCTCTCGTGGAAGTTTAGGCTGAGATTTAAAAAATATATAAAATGGAAAACAAAACAAAAACACCCTAGAAAACAGACGGTTACAGGTGAAATCGTGTCTGACATTGAAACAGATCAGACAGGGCTGACAAGCTTTGGCATGAGTCCAGGTAAGCCTGGCTAACTGTAACCAGACAACCCACAGAGGACAGATAACGGGCAGAAAGAGACTGTGAGAGTGTGGCTGCGTCGGGCTTACCTTTGAGGGGAGATGGAAACCAGAAATGAGTAGTGGAGTTTCTGGATGCTGAACAGATGAGCTGACTGTAACCTGAAATACACACACAAACAAACAGTAACTTTGTAAGAAAGAAAATAGTTTTAGTATTCAACGTAGAAAGGAGAATCAAAAACAAAAAAGCAAAATATTTCTCCCTGGTTACTAAACTTAAAGATACTGTTTCTTAAAAAAGGTAGAAATTTATAAATAAAACACCCTTCAGTGATGCTGTCTCCTAAAGAAACCCGCTTCAGGAGAATCAGTGCTTTTCCCCGGTGTACACAGAGCCCTACAGATGCTTTTATTCTTGGAAGTATCTTTGATTAACTCCCTACCATAAGCATCTAGGAGTGGAATTGTTGGGTCAAAGGATACACTGTTTTAAAGCTTTTGATACAACATCTCTGACTCCTGGCAAGAAGGTTGAAGACCAGGTCAATTTATAGTCAGCACAGAGATGGATGCCAAATGAAAGACCAGCGGCATGTTCTTGGTGCTCAGTCTCAAATCTGGACTCTGCATAAAGACAGTCTCTCCAACAAACCTCGTTAGCGCACAAAAGTCTATTTATGGCACCATGTTTTGACTCTTTGGAATAAAAACTCTGAACTTGCTTGAAAATAGTGAAGGTACTTCCAACCAGCACATAGATGTGAGTCCACTCAGTCAAGGGAGGCCACATGATGCTTTGTCCACACAATTTGAAACTGATTACTTATCAGTTTAACATATTAATTAGGTCCAAATTCTCTGGCATGGAAAATAGAGCTAATGAAAAGCTCACGCACAAATCCATCAGTCTCTCTCTTTAACCTAGCCAAGTGAGCTTCCTAAAAGCACCACTGAAACCCAGAGTTCTGAATGCACAGGGATTGGGAAAAAACAAAAAGTAAAGTCCTCAGTGTTTACTTCCGTCCTTCTTCCATAAAGAACTCCCTCTTTTCCTTTTAAAAAACAAAAAAACGGTGGGACGACGAGGGAGCTTCCAAACATTTGTGGAAAAATTCCCATATTTTAAAATGCCATTTCCCACCGACTTTTTGAAACCCTCTCATATAGGCAGTTTTTACATTCTTTCTACATTTTCTGTTTCAGATTTAAACAGTCCTTCCTGGGAACCCACAGCTCAAAAGCCACATGTTCAGAGAGCACACGTCTGGCCCTAACAATTCCAACTCTTACAAAATTGCAATTGGGAGATGTGAACACTGGGTTTTTGATATTAAGAAATTACCATTAATAACACTGCTTAGAGGTAGTAACACTCTTGTGATTAATTTGCAGATAACCCTTCTCTTTAGGGAGACACCGTGGTGTGTACCATGCCTCAGTGCCAAACACTGGCCGCTGCGGGTCGGTGCAGCGGAGATGTGGTCATGAACTGGTAGAGGCTGAATGATGGGGAGAGTGGGTTCAGGGTGTTTTCCCTCTACTTCTGAATACCTGACACTGTCTACAACAAAGTTTAAAAAACAAACAAAAATCACACCACAGAAACCCTCCTGATTTACCTTTTTTGGTTCTTGTTTTAGGTGCGATACCCCCACAAACTCTGCTTCCAGCTGGTAGGTGAGCGCCAGCACTTGGATGTCTGTGGCAGACAGGCTGGGGTAGTCTCCAGTTTTCTTTGAAAAATCAGTCACTGTAAACAAGAGTCAGAGACAGCCATGGGTCTGGAGTGGTGTTGGCTGCCATCGAGTTGCTTTCGCCTCAGTTACAGGACAGGACTGTCCAGTAGGGTCTGCTTGGCTGGACTCTTCATCAATCAGATCGCCAGGTCTTTCTCCTGCAGAGGGGCTGGGTGGGTTCAAACCACCGACCCTGCACTTGGCAGCCAAGCACCTGACCACTGTGCCACTAAGGCTCCCACGGCCTTGAATAACCAAATGAAAATCGCCAAGAAGTGAGAAAGGATCTACATTCCCAGAACAAGCTGTAACACTTTCATCCGTTCCTTGAAAATGTCTTACTCTTAAGTTGAAAATCTTGTACTCTCTACCACAAAGATCCATGCCTGCTAAGTTTCCTGGGAAATCTGTATCGAGTGTAGAGGAAGGAACAGACAATCTCTACAATTCTGTTAAGTAAACCAAAGCAGATGAATCGAAGTGATGAGCACATTCCAAAATGGTGGTGTTGGTGGAGCGCTGTGGAGTCCATCCAACTCTTAGCGACTCTGTACAGTGTTTCCAAGGAGCAGCTGGTGGATTTGAACTGCTGCCCATTTGGTTAACAGTCCAGTGCTGATCCTACCACGCCACGTCAGGGCTCTTCCAAAATGGTATGGGAAGTTAATCTAACCAATAAACATTGCAGCATATGATAAAGTTTAAGTGCTATTAATATTTGCTCAAAAGGTTAAATAACTTAAATCTACCCCATGCAACACAACTGTGGCATACTGTAACCCTGTAACAACAGATCCCAGGTCTCTCTCCGGCAGAAAAGCTAAGCCAACGCTGACTTGTTAAGTGCCCTCATCCCATGGTGACCCTGTATAGGGTTTCCAAGTAGATTTGGGTGGGTTAGCTAACAGGATCTCCAATAAAAATCCTCAAGCCATTAAGGAACTTTCATGGGTAAGATTGTTTTGGTCCCTAACAAAAGAACCACACTGGCCCTTATACCAAAAGCTACTTGTTTATATTTACAGCTTTCTTTTAAGCCTAGGGTAAGGACAAAAACACAGCCTCTAATGGCTTCCAATTCCAAAATGCACCATCACCCTATCGGGATGATCAAGCTCCACATTATGCTGAGTGTCACCCGGCTCTTCACTTACTGCTCACAGCGCCCGGAAGGAGAGGTGGGGATGCTGCCCTGAAGGCGGCCCTGCCGCTCCTGCGCCCTCCTCACTGTGTCCGATCACCTCTTCACTCACCCAGCCGAATATACTCCGGGAAGGGCTCCTTGAAATGCAGCTCGTAGGGTAAGACAGCCAGCCGCCTGCGCGTGGCCTTGTCCCGAATCTCGCTGACCACCTCCCGGATGGTATAGATGTTCTTCCCGATGTCCTGCGGAGACATCGGCCCAGCTGAGACCCCCCGGTACCACGCACCCCCGCCTGCCTTTACACGCACTTCAGTGGCTGCCAGCACCTCTCGGCGGGACCTCCCTGTACCTGCAGAGCCGCATCACGCAAGAAAGCCCCGGCGTCCGCCACAACGTGTTCCACCGGTGCCATCTTGACTCCTCAAGCACAGAGTGCGCGTGCGCTCCCACTTAAAGCCGCCCCCTTGTTTCCCATTCCAGGCCTCTGGGAACCGGAAGACTAGGCGTAGACTCAGCGGCGCCTCCTAGTGGCCAAGGCCTCATGTCTTGGCTGAGGGCAACCTGCGAGCATGCGCGCCCACGCTGCGGGTCCAGGGAGGAGTGCGCGGGTTGACGTCTTAAGGGTTCCCAAGAAATTGTCGCCTTGTCCTCTCAGTTAAAAAAAAAAAGGTGCCTTCAAGGCGACGTCACGTATCTCAGAGTAAAGCTGCACATTAAGGTTTTCAATGGCTGTGACCTTTTGTAAGGAAACGACTAGGTCGCCTTCTAAGCTGCCTCTTGGTGGATATGAACCACCACTCGTCGGGTTAGTAGTTGAGCAATACCAGTTTGCTCCTCCCAAAAGGCCCTAAGCTTATCCATTGTGCTTTCTTTACTTTTAAATGTGAAACCTTTATATGTTCTCATTGTTAGAAAACAACCTAATTAGTACAACACTCTTGTGAGAAAGGTACTATTTTACAGACAAGGGATAGCTACTTAAAAGTTACTAGAACCAGCTGACAAGATAAGGAAGTTGTAGTAAGTGCCGTACTCTTGGGTTCCTTCTCATTTGTTGTTGTTGTAGAGTGACTTCAAGTCGATTCTGACCCTTTGCGACCTTGTATAGGGTTTCCAAGGAGCAACTGGTTAGCTTAAACCACTGACCTTGCAGTTCAAACGACTTTGCAGTCTGACACATTAACCCATGGTGCCATACCAGGACTCCATAGCGACCCTTTATGGGGTTCTGAGGAGTGACTGCTAATTTCGAATCGCGACTTGGTCTTTAATAGTACAGTGCTTAGCCTACAGCGTCACACCAGGACCATATGATTGGTAAGTAGTGTTGTTAAGTGCGTTAGAGTCAGATCCAACTCACAGCTGTTTGAAAGGCCCTCTCATGCATTTGCATTTTGAATTGGAACAGAGACTAACTGCTCAATTAATTGTTACTATTTTTGCATAGTATGATTTGTCCAATCTTGAAGATCCCAAAAATAACAATAATTAGTGCATGGTTCTTAAGATGTTGTTGCTGTTGTTGTGTGTCATGGAGTTGGTTCTCACTCATAGTGACCCTGTATGGGTTTCCAAGGCTGTAAGTCTTTACAGGAGCAGAAAGCCTCAGCTTTCTCCTGCAGAACAGCTGGTAGTTTCGAACTGCTGACCTTGCAGCTCGCAGTCCGATTCATAACCACTACGCTACCAGAGCTCCTTAAGGTGTAGTCCTTGCTTAATAGCAACAAAACACTGTCAGATATAGTGTCAGAAGATGAGCCCCTCAGATTGAAAGGCACTCAAAATATGACTGGGGAAGAACCACCTCCGAAAAGTATATAGTTGATCATAATGACATGGGACCTTCATTTGCTGATGAGGCACAACTCAAAATGAGAAGAAACGCTGCAAACATTTATTAATAATTGGTACATGGAGTATCAGAAGCATGAATTGAGGACTACTTGAAGATGTCAAAAATGAAATGGAATGCATATTGATATCCTAGGCATTAGTGAGCTGAAATGGACTGGTATTGGCCATTTTCAATCAGACAATCATATGGTTTACTGTGCCAGGAACAAAAAATTCAAGAGGAATGGTGTTTCATTGTCAAAAAGAACATTTCAATATCCATCTTGAATTACAATGTTGTCTGTTATAGGATAATATGCCTATGACTACAAAGAAGATAGGTTAATGCCACTGTTATTCAGATTTATGCACCAATCACTAAAGCCAGTAGTGATGAAATTGAAGAATTCTACCTGCATTTTCATTCTGAAATTGATCAAACATGCAACCAAGATACACTGACAATTACTAATGATTGGAATGCAAAGTTTGGAAACAAGAGGAAGGATCAGTAATTGGAAAACATGGCATTGGAGATAAAAATGATGGTGGAGTTTGCATGATAGAATTTTGCAAGGCCTTTGACTAATTCATTGCAAATACCACTTTAAATAACGTAAAACATGACTATACACATGGACCTCATCAGATGGAATACACAGGAATCAAAATGACTACATTTGTGGGAAGAGGTGGTGGAAAAACTGAATATCATCAGCCAAAACAAGGCCAGGGACAGAGTGTGGAACAGATTATCAATTGTTTACATGCAAGTTCAGGCTGAAGCTGAAGAAAAGTTCAACAACTCCACGAGAACCAAAATAGGACCTTGAATATATCTCACTGGAATTTAGAGATCATCTCAAGAACAGATTTGATTCATTAGATACTGTTGACTGAAGACCAGAAGAGTTGTGGATGGCATCAAGGACAGCATATAGGAAGAAAGCAAAAGGACATTAAAATGACAGGAAAGAAAGAAAAGATCAAAATGGATGTCAGAAGATACTCTGAAACTTGCTTTTGAACACAGAGAAGCTAAAGTGAATGGAAGAAATAAGAAGGTAAAAGAGCTGAACCGAAAATTTCAGAGGGCAGTTTAAGATGAAAAAGTCAAGAATAAATATTGTAATGAGATGTACAAAGACCTGGAGTTAGAAAACACAATCAGCATTTCTTAAGTAGAGAGAATGGAAGTAAACAAAAAAAAAGCATCAAAAGGAGAAAATGAAAGGAATACAGAGTCACTGTACCAAAAATAAATGGTCGATGTTCATTCATTTCCAGAGGTACCACGTGATCAAGAACCGATGGTAGTGAAGAAACAAGTCCAAATTGTACTGATGGCACTGGCAGAAAACAAAACTCCAGGAAATGATGGAATACAAACTGAACTCTTTTAGCCAATTGATGCAGCACTGGAGGTACTCACTGATCTATGCCAAGAAATTTGGAAGACAGCTAGCTGACCCAACCAATTGGAAGAGATCCATATTTGTGCCCATTCCAAATTCTCCAGTGGAATGCAGAAATCATCGAACAATATCATTAGTATCACCTGCAAGTGATATTTTGCTGAAGATAATTAAAAAAACAGTTCCAACAGTACATCAACAGGGAACTACCAGAAATTCAAGTTGGAATCAGAAGAGGACATGGAATGAGTGATATCATTGCTGATGCCAGATGAATCTTGGCTGAAAGCAGAGAATACCGGAAAGATGTTTACCTGTGTTTTATTGACTATGCAAAGATTATTGATTGTGTGGATAATAACAAACTATGGATAACACTGCGAAGAATAGGTATTCTGGAGCACTTTATTGTGTTCATGAGAAATCTGTATATAGACCAAGAGGCAGTTGTTAGAACAAAACATTGGGATACTGAATGGTTTAAAAATCAGGAAAGGTGTTGGCCAGGGTTCTATCCTTTCATCATATTTATTCAATCTGTATGCTGAGCAAATAATTCAAGAAGCTGGAGTATATGAAGAACCTGGCACCAGGATTGGAAGAAGACACATTAACAACCTGCAATATGCAGATGATACAACCTCCTGGAAGCAAAGATGACTTAAAATACTTAATGAAGAAGATCAAGGACCACAGCCTCAGTATGGATTGCATCTCAATGTAAAGAAAACAAAAATCCTCACAACTGGATGAAGAAATAACATCAGGACAAATGGGTAAAAGATTGAAGTTTTCAAACACTTTATTTTGCTTAGATCCACAATCAACTCTCATGGAAGCAGCGGTCAAGAAATCAAATGATGTATTGACTTAGCCAAGTTTGCTGCTTAAAAGCTCTCTAACGTGTCCAAGATCAAAGATATCAGTTTCAAGTCTAAGGTGTGCCTTATCTAAACCATGGTATTTTCAAGTCTCATATTCATGTGAAAGTTAGACAATGAGTAAGAAAGATTGTAGAAGAATTGATGCATTTGAATTATGGTGTTGGTGAAGAATATTGAAAGTATCCTTGGTGGCCAGAAGAACAAACAAATCCGTGTTGGAAGAAGTATAGCCAGAATGCTCCTTAGAAGCCAGGATATCATCTCTCATACTTCAGACATGTTAGCAGGAGAGACCCTGTCTCTCTAGAAGGGCATCATGCTTGGTAAAGTGGAGGACCAGCTAAAAAGAGGAAAGCCCCAATGAGATGGATTGGCTCAGTGGCAGCAGCAATGGGCTCAAGCAAGGATTCTGAGGATGACGCAGATCAGGTAGTGTTTTGTTCTGTTGCACACAGGGTTGTTATGAGTCAGAATCAACTTAATGGCACCAAATAATCACAACTTTACCAGCTACTCCTCAGTAAATCCTATACAGGGTCACTATGAGTTGGACCCAACTCTGTTGTACTTAACAACAACGAGACTAATTAGGTCATTGGTATTAATTTTAATCATTGGTGATTAAAGGTAAAACAAGTTGAGCCTTCATTAATTTTGTCAAAGCTGAGGACCTTTCAGACCCCCAGCAAAGAAGGTTGATTTATAATGTTTTTGCTAATGCCAAATCATTTCATCTATAGATGAAGGGAAGGGGGATGGTTTGGTGTTGTGGGGCATTTTATGGGGTTTTTGAAGTCTTCTACTTTTGCTTTATGTCACACAAACATTTGCTTTATGAAGGTCCTGGTGGCGCTGTGGAACAAGCACTGAGCTGTTGGCTGTAAAGTCAGTGGTTCAAACCTGCCAGTCTCCCTGGAGAAAAAAACAATCACATCTGCTACTGTAAAGCTTTAGTTTTGGAAACCCTCTATAGGGTCTTTGTAAGTCAGAATCAGCCCAATGGTAGTGTGTTTAAAGTCTAGAATAGCACTGGCTCATAGGAGGGGAAGAGTCAGATTTAGCAAATAGAAATATAATGTTTCCAACAAAGTTTGAATTTCAGAAACCAGTCTTGTTTTTTTCTGTATAAATATGGTGGTGTGCGGATGAGTCAATTCTGACTTATAATGACCCTACAGGAGAGAACTGCCTCACAGGCTTTCCTAGGCGGTCATCTTTGGAGCCCTGGTGGTATAACAGTTGGACTGTTAACTGCAGGGTTGATGGTTCAAATCCACCAA